GATACAAATGCTACGACGACTACGACGACGACTACTACTACGACTACTACTACTACGACGACTACTACTACGACGAGGACGAGTACTACTACTACTACTACTACTACTACTACTACTACTGATACAAATGCTACGACGACTACGACCTACGACTACGACGACGACGACGACGACTACTACGACTTCGACTACGACTACGACCACGAGTGCTACTGTAGGAGTAGTACTACTACGAGTACTACTAAGTGCGACGACAACGAGGAGACGCCGATCATGACGACGACCACGGCTGACGACGGTGTTCTTATACCTACACCACTAAACAGGGGGCGGGGGGATGCTTCCGACAGGAGCGAAAAGGTCTGCGGAAAAACCAGACAGCAAAGTGGCAACAGGCCAGGCCGGTCAGAGCTGGCTTTCAGGGTTTGCAGGCTTTGTTTGCGATTCAAAAGATGAAGATGTGTTTCTGTTGCGCTTCGCATCTAGGATTCGGATTTAGGGAATTTGGGCCTATGGTTCACCACATCCTAGGCTGAGGACCTAAATAAAGGACTTCAGACTTTTTTGAATCTTACATATCCAGGTGAACAAAGCTAATCGTTTTGTAAGACCCCAACAACACCATTTAGCCCCTAAGACTCCCGCACAATTTCAAAAAGCAGTAGGGTCCAAGTATCGAATCATCAGGAACTTCTCCGAAGTGCAGACATACAAAACTTGAAGACCCCGCAGAGGATAACCCCATAAAGCCTACTCGTAGTCCACCCCCCCCTAACAAAGTCCGTTCTGATGTGTAAGGCCCTTAGATTAACAGTTGACATACGGTTAGGTTTTGCGTTGAAGAGTTGGCGGGTTAGAGTTTTCGATTTACGGAGTTAAGGGGGTCGTTGACTTAGGGTTTAGAGCTTATATACAAGGGAAAGTGGATTCGTGAGGCTACTCTTCAACACCCTAGGTTTGCGATTCGGGGACCTAGTGGGGGTTCAAAAGAGGATTAATAAAAGGCTCACTCCTGGCTTAATGTGGCTTATCAATTATCAATGACTGAATGAAGCTTAGTAGCTTGATTTTTTAAGTGTTCCTGCCAAAATTCTCAGCTGAAGCCTTCAGCACTAGAGAGGCTTGGCCGCGACTTGAAATCTTCGCAGTCCAGCATCCACTGATAGAGTTTGCTAGTACCCCCTTAAGTATTCACCTTCCCCAAATCGTGTTCTTCTCACTATATGTCCCGATTTGCAACTGAGGAGCGGCGAGAGCAGCTGCAGTCTTCATTCCTTTCCAGAAGGACTTGAGGCGCACGCATAGTCCACTGGGATGCACAGTGAAGCCCAGAAAGTCGGAACATGGATTTAGGACGATTACTGCTAGGATCCCTTATACTTTGCCTCAAGGGCCTCAGGACAATGATGTTCCATCTTTCTGGCTTGTACCTTAGGGTTATGCTTCACAGGGCCTAGCCTCCAGATTTCAAGGGCTTAGGGTTTAGGGTAGGGCATAAGATCCTAAAAGTCACCTCAGTTTGCCGAGGCCCTGTTGAGCTGCCTCTACGGAAGGTAGTTCCTGCAGAAGTTGATTTTGGGTTTTTTGTATTTGAGATCCTTAGATTAGAATCAGGATATGACTGTGCATCGAGCTTGTCTTTGAGGCCTCTTCTCGAAGGGTCCAGTACAGACTTTGGCCTCAAAGGGCTTCCTCAATTGTAGGTGCTTCTTGGTCGAAGTGGGAGCTTCCGAAAAGTAGGGGTACCTTAGTTGGGGTCCTTACAATAATCCTACTATTTAGGGTACAGTATCAGGGTCCCCTATTTTCGGAAGCTCCCAAGTGTGTACCGTATAGGTACCTGTGCCCGTAGGGTTTTCTGCAACTCCCACGTCTGCAGAGTTGGATCCCGCTTAGTCGCACTGGCGATACTACCTGGCGGCTGAAGAAGATAGCTGGCAGCAGAACGAACCCAGAGCCTCTGAAGCTTAAGCTCTGACACATAACCCTAACCCTTCCAGGTACCTACTATATAGGGCCTGGGGGGCTCTAGTAGGTACCTGGGGGGGTTAGGGTAAGATTTGGACTAGGACAACACTCCGACCAGGGCCTGGGACGTTGAAGCCAAGCGTAGCACAACAGAACACAGCACGGTGCGGCACAGCACAGCACAGCCATAGCAATAGCCATCCCTAACCCCCTAGGCACCTCCTGTATAGGGTACTAGAGCCCCTAAGGCCCTATATAGTAGGTACCTAGAGGGTTAGGGCATAGCAGGGAAGGGGCCATGAAGGGCATTTTATTTACGAATTACGCAGACCCCCACGGGACCCTGAACCACCATAGATCCCTGGCGGCAGCCTGGCCGGCCTTGGGGTCAAGTTTCCTGGGATACATTCTTCGGAGCAACAAGATGCCCTGTTTGCATCCCCTCCTGCTTGCCAGACAGGAGGAACTGCGTTTTGGCCTTGAACCCGAAGACCCCAAGCCCCTAGAACCTAAAATTAAAGCCCCAAACCTTACTGTACATCCTAGAACCTCATGATATGCCTCTAGAGAGAGCTAAACCCTAAACCCTAAACCCTAAATAGCGCACAAAATGTATTTGGAGGCCATGATGAGCCGTGGCTGCCTTTGCTTTGCAGCCATCGCCGGTGCAGAAATGTGTGGACCCTGATTCCCTGGGCCCTTAAAACACGAAAAAACCGAAAGAATGCAGAAAACAGCTACGTCCAAAGAGGCCCCAGTCATCCTCTGACCCCCGCCAAAATAATCTCCCCGGGTTTAAGGTTTTCGGCTGTAGGCTTCGAGGTTTGAGGCTGTAGGGTTTAGGATGTTAGGGTTGCGGGTTCCCGGTCTAGAGGTTCGGAGTACCCCAAAGGCACCACCCGTCCAAACACGACGTACGACATGTATCTATGTGTTTACATAGACTGATGTATCTGCATACATGTGTATGTAGATATGTGTATGTTTATATATTGTATATCATATGTGCGCATCAGGGGCTAGAGGCTGAGGGCCATAATCGGCTGTAATCGAAGAGGGCTCCGGAATAGAGCAGCATGTGTGGTTTAGGGCTTCAGGGGCGAATGTGTAGTTGTGGAGAGGTGCTATGGTTTAGGGTAAAAAAGTCTATGGGTTGGAAGTTAGGGTTGTATTCAGAATGAGTGTAGGAGGTGGGGGGCTTGGCGTTTGGTCTTCAAGATAAGCCCTTTTCCCCTAAATTGTAAACCCTAAGCCATGGATCCATCTTCTTGACACGGCCGGTACAGAGGGAGCACGTTTCAAGTATCCTCTGAACAGATAGCTTCGATGTTTCAAGTGGACTTTTCCGTGTCTGGCAAGGGCGCAACGTCATATGAACCTCAAGCGTGCAGGGTGTGAAGGGTTGAGGGTTTGCGGTTCAGAGCATAGACACTGCGTTCGTTCGACGAGCTCAGACTCTAGACCATAAAGCATCCACGTGAACAGAAACCTTCCTGAACCATCGTAGCCTGTATAAAGCCTTATACTTGTGCACCTTCATCACGGATCTCTGAGTTCAGAGCAGATACCCCGCATTCGTTCGAAGGTCTAGACCATAAGGCATCCGCGTGAACATGAACCTCTCTGAAGCATCATCGCCTGTACAAACGAGGTTCCCTGAGTTCGGGACACCCCGGAAACTTTGGTTCCGCACTCTACCAGGGCCTGCGTGCTTGAGCCCGATACCTTCAGAAGTTTGGGGATGCCGTTGTACGCTGAACACTAGGCACTGGAACCCAAAGCCTTGATCCCTAAATCCCGAACCCGAACACGCTTTAGGGTTTATGGTTTAGGGTTTAGGGTTTAGGGGAACCACTGAACGCCAAAGTACGTAATTAAGTTATCACCCCCAGCGATCGAGCCTCGCATCCTAATCGGAAGAGCTCGCAGTGGCGAAGCCTAGCCAAGTACATGTTGTGACCTCTGTACTATGCTCACATGCTAACCCTAAGGACGAATGTTCCTACATAGTATGTACTTTGGCCATACTACAGGTGTTCTAACCGACAGGAATATAGGGGTCAAAGTAAATACTAGTTGGGCACATGGACAGTTAGGTTTACGCAGGGTTCATATGTCCTAGTTATCAGCTTCGTACCACGGCAAGAAAGCAGAACACAACAAATCATGAACCTTGCCGGAACGGGCCGGAAGAGCACAAACGAAGAACAAAAACACATAAGCAACGGTTGAATAAGAAAGCAACCATGGCGAGATAAGTATGAATCCATCAGAGTATGCAGAAAACCAGATGCCAGCCACGTGTTTCGCCAGCGGGTGCGGCGGCTTGTCAAATATGGCTTGCCGCTTCCGGCCTGCATGTGCCCGACAATCCGCAGTATCAGAGTCAGGATACTTCCGTTGCTCTTGTTACCGCCAGTCTAAAGAGATTTTCGGACAGGTGCTCATATTATATTGATCGTTTTCGCACAAACAGGTGCCTCTGCATTTTCCAGGAACACAGGCCTCGCGGCCGCAGTCCTGCCAAACGTGCTGCCCAGCGGTCAAGCTGCATGATTTTCGGGTTGAAAGCTCAGATTAAGGTAAGATTCACTCAGCCGTATGTGCATAGTCTTCTTCCTTTAGAGAATCGCTATCTCAATAAAGTATTACAGCCGGTACACAGAGAGAGAGAGAGAGATAGAGCATGAGATGCACGGAGAGAGAGAGAGAGTGAGTGAGAGTGAGAGTGAGAGTGAGAGTGAGAGTGAGAGTGAGAGTGAGAGTGAGAGAGAGAGTGAGAGAGAGAGTGAGAGAGAGAGAGAGAGTGAGAGTGAGAGAG